CACACACACACACACACACACACACACACACACACACACACACACACACACGTGTTTCCACAAATCGGTGAAACTGGGAAGACATTTTGACATAGTTATCTTAGTGTGAGCGTGAAAGGCTAGGTGATTATTTATTTATTGTTTTATATCATTTGTTTTTCATTCCTAATCACCCCCATTCCATCCCCAGCCCCTTTCTGTTCTTCTCCTTCCCCGACACCCTTTAGATCCCCGGCTCCCATTTTTCCACGTTGTTTTCTTTTCTATTAATTATCGCTGCGCACACTGCCAATCGAAACCATCGGATCTAGTTAGGGCCGCCCAAATTCTCCTTCATGGGTGGGGCACAAGTTGACCATTTTGGTACATAATGAATCCGATTGGCAGTGTGACAGTGTGCACGGGTTATAGCATAAAGAATAAGCTTATGCTTATTTCCCTAAAGGGCACATGAAACATTCCAGTACGGTACACTTGATGAGCTGTCCAACTGCTCATTAATTATGGTTATTGATGGTTACAAGAAGAGTGAAATAAGCAGGAGTACGGATATCATAATATGGGTACAAATTTCACCACCTTAGAATTACAAAGTTCTTTCTGCTCGGTACCTAGTTTTGAGAAATTTGACGTAAAATTGTTGAGTTTCACAAAATGACAATCGTTTTCGAATACAATTGTTTGAGTATCTTGACAACTCAGAATAATCTTACGGTTTTGATAGAGCAAATACAGCATTTGATTTCTGGTCTCATGGTCTTAGTAACTCAAAACGGCCAAAAAATTCCAGGTAGAACATTGTAATTCTGGGGAAGCAATTTGTTATAATTGGCGTACTATTTACATTTTACCAAGAACGCATAAACAAGAAAATAGGCCCAATAAAATAATCATGGTGGTAATGGAAATTAGAGAAAGTGCTTGTCTGAGATTCCCCGATGCACACCTAATTTGCGCAGGTCGGCTTACATTTACATGAGACCAAAACCACAAAATAAATCCGTCAACTCTTCTGTCAGGCATATTGATACAATAAATCTAGGAAAGCATTTCATAGAAAAAGTCTTTTTATAAGAGATCTCTATATATTTTTTCAAGTAAGTGGTGTTATTTAAACACTTCCATCGACATAATTTAATTTAGATTTTTCAGGAAACGGGCACCGGGGCTGAGAGGAATACAACATTCAAGCAGAAAGACCGAGATACTTGACAGAAATTTCTCCCCTCTCGGGGATCGAACTCGGGTCTCCTGCGTGCAATATACCGCAACACCACAGAAGTAGATTTATAAAAGATCATCTTAACATTCTGTACTATTTCACAGCAGTCAAAAACATGCCTATGTTGGCCATTATTACAAGCAACAAATAACATGTAGACTTACAAAATAATGCACTTCATAACATTTGGGTAATGTGGGGACATTTGATGAGAAATGATGAAGCATTGGAACAATAAGTGTTTATTTATAGACGTTGTCGTTGAACCTCTCCGGCATGAAAATGAGTTTTAAAAAAACCAAACGAATGAATGTGTGTGTGTGTGTGTGTGTGTGT